CCCTACTTACTTCTGCAGCGATTGATTGATTTTTAAATGTTTTGCTTTTGCAAGTTAGTTTTGGCATTGGAGCCACCATCAGAGACAAATAAGGAAAGAGAAATGGACACAAAGAAGGGTAAGGGGGTCATGGGTGAGAAAGGAAGAGACACTGAAAAAGGTTAAGAGTAGTGGTAGTTTGAGATCAGTTAGTGTATTGATATCTCATAATTCGCTTGGGCTATTTTCATAGCATTGAGCTCTGACACAAACCTTCACAGTGTTTCCCCTGCAAGACCCAAGTTGGGGGTCGAGGGGAATTGTAGATTGGAAAAAAATTACTTCCGCCCCCACTGCCAAAAAATAATCTTAGAAAACAAAACGGGGCAGGAGGGGGGAAGACAAATTGAATTGTCTGTCACAGTCTTGATGATCTAAGACATACTTAAAGAGGTGATGTTGGGAAGCTGAACTTTTTCAAAAATTCTAATTCTTTAGGTGACTTCAACAACTGGGAAGAGACACATGAAACCAGAGTACAAAGATATTAAACATCCTACTTAAACATCACAACGAAGAGTAGCATCTTTTAGGCCGAGGTAATTTTGACTCACTTCTCCAGGTAGACCAGGTGAAAAACACCTGTCTGGCCTGAACTTTCAGGTAGCTCAAAAGCCATGTGACAGAGCAGTGGAAAACCTCACGAACCCAAATTGACCTGAGGTTTCTGCTGACCTCGTAGTGTTTATCTCCTCTGGCAGGGAGCCTTCCCCGAGGCAACTACAAAAAGCACTATTTTGGTCTGATGGTATTGCTTTCTATGGTTGAATTAATAAAAATGGATACGGTGAAATTGTTCCTTCTAGGTCTAAAAAAAAAAAAAGAGAAAAAATGGGACAGGACAAGATGCCTAGGTTATGAATAAATGAAACTTATTGAATCACCAAAAACTCACAGGAAAGAATTTTACATCACTCAGAGTATCTAAATTCCAGACGAGAATGCCATACTTAATGGAGAAAAAGAAATAAGGGCGATTCATTTTGGTATAATGCCGTACACTTCAAGAGTTCAGAACATAAATGTACAAAAGAAGGTGCTGGGAAGGAGGTTAGACTTTCATTCTTACATTCCGCTTCCCAGCAAGTGTTTTGCTGCATGTCCAGAATGTAAGGAAACTTAGACATAAAGCATCAATACAGAATATTAGGTTGCAGTGTCAATTCTTCTCTTAATAACCTCATTATCTTGAAACAATGCGTGTCAGCAAAGATCAGGGTAGGTGTCTTAAGAGCAGCTTAATTATCTCTAAGCCTTATAATTCAAAATACAGACCTCAGTTTTAAAAGTATGTGAAATCCCTCTAAACAAGTCCCAACATAGTTGTTTTTCTCTGTTAATTGTGTATTTGGGGGCTTTCCTTGTATGCCCACAGTTTGCCATTTGTACCCAAGAAATTTTCCTTGAATAAAGCTATTCCCTTGAAAAAGAAAAGCTGATGGCTTAAATTCCCATGTTCAATGAGTGTAACAGTCTTGTAATGTATTAAAATTCAATGTGTCATTCTGTTTATGCTTATGGAGGTCTCGTAGCTGAGGCCCCGGGCCTTGTGCATGTGGGATGGGAAGAGAAAATGAGATTGAACCCATAGTCAGCGTGAGTTTTTTCGAGCTGATCAGGCCAGTCTCTACTTTTTCCTGCTTAAAACTCTTCACTACTGTTCCATTCCTGC